ATGTTGACTTGGAAAACTCTCGATCCTCAAGAGCACGGTTGATCTCTTTGGTCGCGGTGTTCATCTTGTGAAGAATCCATCGCTCGGCAAGAGTTTCGCCACGGACAACCCCTGACGTCGAGGGAGTGAAGTCCTTGGGGAGACTTCCCAGAACATACTTGGTAGCCTGGAAGATCTTATTACAGAACTTACGGTATCCGTGGATAATCTTGACATCCAGGTTGATATCACCACCACCGGTTGTGGCGTTAATCATGGTGAAACGCAGGGCATCAGCACCGCACTGGGGGATACCATCAGGGAATGCAGTCTTCTGATACTTGGTGGCCTTTGTAACCTCGCTGGGGTGTAGGTTACCTTGCAGAAGCTTGTCGTGAAGAGACTGCAACTGGATACCTGAGATGACATCCAGGGGATCAACGACGTTACCCAAACTTTTACTCATCTTACGACCCTCTGAATCTCGAACCAGACTGTGGCAATAGACCTCCTTGAATGGGATATCTCCCGTCATCTTGAGACCGAGCATGATCATTCTGGCAATCCAGAAGAAGAGAATATCCCAACCTGTCTCGAGGACATCTGTGGGGTAGAGAGTTTGGAGGTCGTGGGTGTTGTTGGGCCAGCCGAGGGTGCTGAAAGGCCAGAGCCCAGAGGAGAACCAGGTGTCGAGAACATCCTCATCTTGCTCAAGTGTATATGTCTTGCCAGGGAGTGCAGCCTTGGCTTTCTCCTCAGCCTCCTCTCGTGTTCGGCCGGCAAACCAGAGCTTCTCCTCGGGGATATCTCCAGCGCCGCCCTCGATCTTAGCGTAATAGACGGGACATCGGTGACCCCACCAGAGCTGCCGGCTGATGCACCAGTCGTTGATGTCCTCAAGCCATCGGAAGTAGCTCTTCTCAGCAGTCTCTGGTCGAATCTTGATGCGCCCGTCTCGAACAGCAGCCAAGGCAGGCTCAGCGAGTTCCTTCATGCGGACCCACCATTGGGGTTTCAGAAGAGGCTCAATGATATCCTTAGACTTTTCACACAGAGGGACCTTCATGGCATTGTCCTTCTTGTCAACATATAGACCCTTGGCCTTGAGGTCATCTTGGATGGTGTAACGGACGTCGAATCGCTTCTGGCCCTTATAAGCGCCGGTGTTCTCGTTCATAAGACCATCGTCAGTCAAGATGTTGATAAACTCAAGACCGTGCTTCTGGCCGAGAGTAAAATCGTTAGGATCATGGGCTGGAGTAAGCTTGACAGCACCGGTACCGAATTCCATGTCGACATACTCGTCGGCGATGATGGGTAGCTTGCGGCCCTCGATAAAGGGGTGGATGGCAGTCTTCCCGATGAGATGCTTGTACCTCTCGTCCTTGGGGTGGACAGCAATGCCGGTATCGCCAAGCATAGTCTCAATACGGGTGGTGGCAACCTCGACAAGCTCATCTGAACCTTCAATGGGGTATTTGAAGTGGACAATGACGCCGAACTCGACCTTCTTGTCGTATCCCGGGACTTCGAGCAGGGTACGGCCAGTCAACTCCTTGTTGACGACTTCGAGGTTGGAAAGTGCAGTGTTAAGCTTGGTGCACCAATTAACAAGTCGGTTTGCTCGGTAAATCGTGCCCTCCTCATGAAGCTTGACCCAGGTCTCAGTAACAGCAGCAGACAAGTTCTTGTCCATGGTGAAAGCTAGTTTCTGTTAGCAGTTTGTTTTCCCTAGATGAGTTTGGGGCTGACGTACCCTCTCTGCTCCAGTCAAAAGATCCTCCTAGACTGGTCAGGGCCTTGTTGATGCGTTTGTGGTATTCATCCTTCCACTTCCAGACGGTGTTAACGAATTCCTCACGGCCAAGGTCGTGTCTTGTCTTGCCCTCCTTTCTCCAAAGCATGTTCTCAACAACGCTCTGTGTAGAGATACCAGCATGATCGCATCCGGGCAACCAGAGGGTGGTCTTGCCTTGCATACGGTTCCATCTAATCATGAGATCCTGAAGGGAGTCACCAAGAGCGTGACCCATGTGCAGAGCACCAGTGACATTGGGGGGAGGGTGAACAATGACGAACTTGCCCTCGTCCTTGACGCTTCCATCGGGCTTGAACTCGGGCTTGAAGAAGCCCTCCTTCTCCCACCAGCTATACCATGCTGACTCGACCGCAATAGGGTTGTAGGCCTTGAAATGGGGGTCTTCAAATGACCGAATTCGCTTCTTCTCGCCCTCGGGGGTGTCTTCAACGTATTCGGGGATAGGCTCCTCCTCGACCTTCTTTTCCTTAGGCTTCTTTTCTTTGGTAGCTTTGGGGGCGGTGGCAGCGGCCTTTTGCTTCTTTGCTTCGAACTTGGCCTGTTTCTCGGCCTTCTTTCGTTCTTTTTCCACTGTGAAACCATGTCAGGGGATGCACTCAAAACTGTCAATGGACTGCGTGTTACATACACTCCTTCTCGGTTTTCACCTTGGGCGCACCGGCGGCGGCTGCTGCGCCGGCATCTTGGCCTGTAGCGTGCGCACCGGTGGCAGACTCGACAATCTCCTTCTTCTCCGCGGCGGGAACGGCTGGAGGAGTGCTGGTAGCGTCCTGGATGCCCTCGCTGGCGGCGACTATGATGTTATGATTAGTATCAGCATTACTACATACAGAGGGCTGTAACGAACTTGGGTTTCCTCGTCCACTGTTGGTCGCCATATTTACTCGCGTGGTTGTTAAGGGTCGGCTTGCTCTTGGGGAAACAGATCGCACCCTCAGTGCTCGAACCGCGAGTCTAAACGTCGTGCCGGAGATGACTGAATGAAGCCCGTAACTTGAGGGCTTCAAGCAATGACCTGCACCTCGAATTGATATAAGTAGATGTTGTGTGACTGCAATTTCGAGGATTGAGTCACCCGCTTCTGATGGTGGGGGATAACTTTTAGTTCATGGAGGGGTACAGAAAGTGTGGCGTAGGTAGTAGTATTAACATTGATATAATTCAGTACTACCTAACGTTGGTTACCATGTCAAATCACATCAACTTGTTAGAAATAATGCCAACGAGGCTCATCTCATGTGACTCGTCAATTGATTTATAAGTGTTGATCATCAATTAGTATACTCATCTTTATTCTGATGACTCTTTTCTTACACCAACGATATCGGACCACCATGTTTCAGTCGTGCTTGTCAAATGTGGCGCAGCAGTCCACTAGCCACAAACGCTCAACTCAGCTTGATGTCGTCTTAGACTAGTTAGGTGCCTCCCTATGCAATAAGTTGAGACGAGATTACTCCAAAGGCCAATATTGAAGCATCTGCTCCAATCTCAAGTATTTGGTGTAGCCGGTCTTCGAAATCTATCCCAATGGCCTTGCGGCTAGCACTAAGAGCTCCTAAGAGCCGTTTCAACAATTGCATTTCGACCACAACTAGGAGAGTCTTCTCAACAAGTAAACAATCGGATTACTTTACTGTTGAGCTGAGTCCGAAGATCAAAGTTAGTTCTGTAACAAGAAGCATTGTCGACTTTGCTGACCCTCCAAAGGACCCCTCAAGGCTATTACAAACAGTTAGATCTCAGATCAACATCACCAATCCTAGCCGCCACGATGCAGCAGTTATCCTGGCAACTCCACAGTATGCGCAATGGCTAGGCAAAAACGAATTCATGTCTGAGTTTGTAGATATGCTGTCAGGTTCTGATGGGACTGGCGAGTTCCATACTGTGGCCGCTGTTGTTGACCACATCGCCCCGCCAGTGCCGAGCAACAAACCCATCCAGGGCATATCTATCCTCCGTGGTAACCTCGACGGTATCCTACCAGGATTATGGACAGAGGCGCCCCCAAAGGAATGGTCGGACGGTGGAAAGGTGTCAGCTCTAACGATGGATCTTGGCAGCCCGCATATCAATATCCCTCTTACCAACACAACTTTTCAGAACCACAGGACCTCGACACTTATCATTAGCCGTTACGACTTGTCAGCCGGCTCTCCGAAGCTCATTGAGCAAACTGACAAAAAGCATTTGCAGAAAGTAACCATTCCTGTTCAGAAGAGGCTCTCGTCAATCAACGACCTTGGTATCTGGGCCCCCCTCGTGCCTTTGACTCAACCCCGTGTGGTTACCGAGAGCTTTGGTAATATCGTACGGCGAGTCGACATTGAAGACGAATCAGTTCCAGCATCGACTGAGCTCGAGCCAGCAGTGGACGAGCTCCATGCTAGCAAATCGGACTTGGTTCAGTCTCCTATGGGTATTTGGGCAATGATCACACCTCCAACTTTTGTTCAGTCGGGGGGCAGCTGGCCCTATGTCAATCCGGATCCCGAGGCAACATTCACCGATTGCCAAAGCATCACGGAGCTAACGGCTGTAACCTCCGATCAATTGGGTATCCTGTATAGGCAAGGGGGTAGATTATATCAAGTTTGTAAGCAACCCAGCCAGTCCCTGTGTTCGATTTCATCTTTTAACAGCCTTCAGTGAGTGGTGGCGGTGGTTGGGGGGCAAAGAAAGGTTTGCTGTCGCTTGACCCCGAGCAAACTCACTTTGTTGTATCTGAAGAAGAAGAGATGCAAAGGTTCATTCAAGCTATGGAGGGGGGCAACTTTGTCCCTGTGAGTTCCAAAATCCAGTTCTTTGCATCAACAGATGCTTCTGCTAGCGAGCTGGCCGGAAACAAACAGACCGAAACCGGTGTGGTGTTTGGAACAGCCAGCAAGGTCGAGGTCGAAACTGATGTGAGTCCTTCTCAACCTGAGGCACTATTGTTGGAGAATCATTTCGGCGCTCTCTCCAATGTAGGTATCTTTGTAACCTCGTCCGATACTTCCATGTTTTCGAAACCTGGGTTCAACAACGACTGGAAACTCAACGTGCCTAACTCTCGGATATATGTTATTTAGGTCAGCACAGAGTTGATGGTCTTCACTGGTGGTTGCCGTATGTATAACAAGAATGTACAAGTACCCCTCCCAACGACTAGATATGGCCGTATGTGTAGATATGTGAGTAGTATTCTGCCTGCGTTTGTTTACTGTGGCCTTTTCTTCTTGTGCAATCCCTCCGCTGCCGCTGCAGCGACATCATCCAGCGTTGTTCCCCTCTTCCTCTTGCCTATCTTCTCATTTCCAAGTACTTCATTCTCCGCAATATCCTTATAGACACTCGCGGCACCCATGAACATCTCTTTATCCCAGCCCGCTTCCTCATTGAAAGTGAGGGCAATCTCCTCCATCTCTCGCACCCAGCGATACGCCTTAGGTGGCATGCCGGGGACGCTCTTTTCAGCGTTGGCAAGCGTGGCTGGATAAAACGTACCAATCTCATCTTTGAGAGCGTCTAAGACGCCAAGATTATGTGCCGTCGTGAACGATTGAGTGGCAATGGCAGTGAAACCCTTTGAAAGGGAAGCAAAGCACATCTTGAGGCCACTTGCAGCGCCGATATCAGGAGAGATTTGCTTCACGTTGAGAACAGACATTAGTTTCTTCCCAAAAGGGAGCGAGCCAAAATCATCCGAGCCTGATATAGGAATTCTAGGACGGTACCAGTCAGAGTAATCGCCACTGCTTGATGATTCTGCTGCGGGATCGGTAGACGTCTTCTTAGGGGGATGCCCAATAATGCTTCCGTCAACGAATCGTACAGGCAGCTTCGATCTCTCGACAGACGCCGCAATGGCCTTGACCGTCGAAGGTGCAACAGCATTGAGATCGACAAAGAAAAGCTCTCTCGTAGCGTCTAAGCCCGCTAACGCATTTGTAATACGAGTGGCTGTTGCCTCTGCGTCTTTAGGAGGCACAATGGAGAGTATAACGGAACTCTGTTTGACCAGATCAACATCGGACTCGAGGAGCTCAACTTGTGCATCCCGAGCTCGTTCGATGGTATCTTTGCTGGAGGAACCGTTAGCAGACATTTCATCTCCTTGCTTGGTTGATCAGTTACCTTCTGCCAGAGATATTGGTTGCAACAGTGAAACCATTGGCAACTAGTAGTTTTGCAATACCGACTCCCATATCGCCAATGGACAATAGTCCGATTTTGGGTAGAGATTCAACGGTAGCTGACATCTTGGGATTGATAATCAATTCAAGTTGGGCGTTATGCGTGATGGAGATGGGTTGACGCGGGGAACTACCTAGGTACCTAGGGTAAGTGAGTTGCGATAAGAGCCTAAGAGTACAATTTACTGATCCTTACCTATTGAATTGAATTGAGATATTGGAGGTTTTCACTAACGTATCAATGACGAAGTCAAAAGCTATTTGCTTTATGCATGGGTAAGTATCTATGAAATACACTGCTGTTATTTAGTACCTAGGAGCAGATATCAATCTGGTAGATATCTTGACAAACAACACAGCCTATTGGGTTTCGTCACTAAGAGATATATGCCTAGGTATGTCAGTTGAGGCATTTCTTCACGATGGAGAGAACGCCGACTCTCAAGACCCATTAACCACGATGAATGCACACGACATGACCCAAAGGTATACGGAATACAATAAATATACTACCTACCTGAATACTGACATGCTAGCCTCTCTATAGGGCAAAGAAACTTCAAGCGATAGAACCTCGAATCAAATAATTACCGACCCCGCCAAACGGTTGACAGGACAGGTGCACTTGAATACTATAGGGCATATTGTAGGTAACTTCTTTATTATGTACGTAGGCGAGTCAACAAGATGTTACGAGATTTGCTTACACGCATCGAGATTCGAGATCGTCTGATTATCACGAGGATGTAGAAAAGTGTCGAAGTTGGGAGAGCGAGGTGAGTGCGGGGCTTCTAATGAACGATACAGTGCCTTGCATCGATCGATCAACTGAAAACGATAGTGATAGCCCCGCCGTCATTTTCAACGGGCGCCATGACTTATTTACATAGTAGTCGGCCGTCTACTCTATGGGCGTTTACACCATCCGGATATAATGCAGGTAGGATCAGATTAGCGAATGTATCAACTCACGATAGTTCTCAAGATCATTAGCATGCCTACGCTACGTTGCGTAAAAACGGAACGGAATGGTTTCGAATGATATGATCAAGAAGAATCGAGGCCTGTCTGATAAGTCGTTTCTTGTGGCCAAGGTCGACGTCACTCTTCAAGGATCCCACCCTGTTTCTGGTGTCGCGGGGAACCATTCATGGTCCAACGATTCGCCTCCGATGAAGACACAGAGCACATGATGACGAACCTTTGACAGGCTGTCGAGGCTATAGATCAGACTATCACTGAAAATACATGATTGCATAGAAGCGAAACTCGTAATTCAAACTATTCATTATCCACCAAACCCCAACCAGTTTACCGATCGTTTCCAAACCGTCGATAACATCAGCTGGCAGCCCATCATGTTCTCCCCTCCTCAACATCAACATGATACTACATCAGCATCCTCATCCAGAACTACCAGACCATCACAAGACAAACACAACGACAGGAATACGGAGACTTTTCCAGCTTCAGCCCCTCGGCAGCCAGACGAAATCGAAGAAGCTGATACGACAGTACCAGTAAAGACGTGTCAGCCAAAGCAGAAGCAGAAAAGAGCTGAATCGTCATCTGATAAAGATACCGGCGATGCCGAGAGTGTGTATCTATCATCCGACGAAGAAGACACATCAGATGAAGACTCCTCAGACTGTGACTCAGACTCACAAGACAGCGTGGAAGAGCTGCCTCCTCGGCAACTATCGAGGAGAGCAACGGATCGAGGTGTAAAAACAAGTCCTGGGTCGCCGTTCACAATCACCCAAACAAGAAGCGAAACTACTCGCTGGATATCAACACAAAACAATGGAGGCATGATGCGAGGGGCTAGAACTGTCAACCAGCAGACAACATTGCATGGACACAACGTCAATGGACCACAGCAAAGACCGAGCAATAGGAACAGCATCAGCCTCAACATGAGCGTCAATGTTGACATGTCCTTCAACGGCCTCGTCACAGGCCGAAACCTGGGCTTCACAGGGGTAGGCAACCTGCCATGAGCTTCTTTTCCTTTTTGTTTGGAACTCAATCGAAACGCTACTAACAATGACAGGGATCACTATCATATGCATGGAGCCGGCGCAACACGCAAGGGAGTTGATGTTTTCTCTTTTCACGTGGACTATTTGACTACAGACGACTAAATTATTATTGACAACTTCGAAGGTGGGATTTTGGGTGTAAGGCGCTAAACATTCTGGTGGTGTACATAGTTGTGAACATGCCAACAAAGCTACTCGATCATGTCAACATCGTCGGTTGCAGCTTGAGCTTGAGTCTGCGCCGGTGCCTGTGTCTGAGCAGTGGGTGCATTTTGCTGGTGAGCAGGTTCCGTGGCCTGCGCGTTGTCACCGCCGCCAAAGTAGTCCGCCATCTCTGCATCCAGCTCCTCCTGTGTCTTCTTTCCACGAGGGTTGCCTCGTCCGCCGCGTCCGCCCTCCTGATCTCTGCTCCCATCTCTGCCGTCTCTGCCATCGCGTCGAGCTCCAGGGCGACGACCACCCTGACCGCGGCCCCGACCACCCTGTCGAGGCATTGGGCTGCGGCGAGGACCCTGACCGGGAACATATCTATCGATTCCTCTGCGGGCAGCATCGTCATCATCATACCGGCGATGGGGGGAATGGGATCTTCGTTCCCCCGGACTCGAGATTCGCTCTGCCAGTGGACGGCCGGGCATAACGGCGGTATCAAATGGGTTTCGCGAGGGTAGCAGAGTCAATCGAATGGGTTGACCTGGTTCCTGTTAGTCAGGTTGTACGACCCGGCAAGTCGGCTTTTCAACTCACCATTGGCATTGGCACCATCAAACTGTTTGACCGCCTCCTGAGCGTCCTCCTTCAGTTCGTACGTCACGTAAGCAGTCCCCTCGGATCGCCCAGCGCGGTCATACCGTAGCTGAAGGCGAACAATTGGGCCAATTCTTCGAAATAGCTCCTATGTGCATGTGAGCTGCTGTGTAGTAATTCCAGCCATGTCATCCACCTACATCCAGGTCTTCCTCAGTGAGGTCATAGTGAATGTTGTCAACTCTGAGCTTGGCGCCCTTGGACTCCCTATCGTGCACAAGGTTAGGGAGTTCGCGATTGTTGATAGGTGCGACTCACTGGTCTGGTGATTCGCGGCGGCGACGAGGAGCAGGAGCTCGGCGATTGTCTGGGTAGGTGTTAAAATGGCGTCCTAGGCAGGAAGGAGTTTCAGGTATTACTGTTCTCTTCGAATCGGTCGTGGACCCATTCGCTGTGTACGGTTAGCAAGCGAGAGGCGTAGGAAGGCAATATTTTGACTGACCTATCAAGGTTTCGTGAATCGTCGCGAACGGACTGCAAGTGGGAGGGACGCTCTGGTCAGCAATGGATTTTCAGAGTGGAAAGCCGTTCAATCGACAAAAGCCCCGAGCACCGAAAGGACAAGTTGCGAGGAGGGTTGTACAGGTCGAGTTGGCATCATTGGAGGGCGAGGGAAGTCAACCTGCACCGCCGACGTCAACAAAGACTCACGAAGAAGGCCGAGTTGCCGTCTGAGGAGAAACCAACCTTTCTAACACCATCGCGAGGGTAGTCATTACGGGGTTCACGTCGGCGACCTTGGCCACGGTGGTTGCGAGGTCGATTGGCGCGCTGCGGAAAAGAAAAGTCAGCCTTGGTTGGTTGATGCGAGACGGGGGCGCGTTCATGCCATGCACTGCGGGAGACGGGATGACAGGATAGGGGGGAGATGAGGAAGACGTACAGTATCAGCGATGATCTCATCAAGACCGCGATCCATCTTGTCAGCCATTTTTGCGTATATTTGCTGTGAAGCTAGGTAGAGTCCGCGAGGAATTCGGCAAGTTAAGGCGAAATTGAAGAGGAGAGGCCGTGTTGCTTGACAAAGTTGGGCCAAGGTTGTCTAGGTACGCACATGCGAAGGATGGATTGGATGTCATGGGTGGGTGCCACAAATCAAGACTTCAAGCCACAATCTGGGCGTTGAATCGTGGTGGAGCCCTCTATTATTAGTGCGACAATACGAGGAAGCATGGTCAACTTGATTATGATATTGTTACGTAGGTTTCGGACGATCGATCAGGACCGATTTACAATTGAAGCAGTTAAAAAGAGTCACATATATCACTGCTACTAGTTATTCATCAAGCATCATACTGTCAGTTGCCGAAGTGCTTCGACCAAGCCGGGCTCTTTCTAAACTTCACTTCACTGGAGAGGTCTACCAAAAGGCCTTGGATGAAATATGCAAAACCTCGAATTCTTACTGACCTTGAAATAGCCCCGAAGGCATAAACGAACTGAGGCCTTCGCTCTTAGATACAATGATACTTTCCAGAGTCAAGCTTTCTCTGAGCCTCCAAATCACATGTACTAGGTATCTTGTATCTGCATGGATACTAGGTACCTTAGGTACTTACCTTACCTACTACCTTAGGTACTCTAGTAGTACCCAGGTTCCTACCTAGGTGCTACTGGGATTCACCGATGGGACGGGTCTCAGCGCTAGACCTGTTCTGGGGACTCAGCCAACTGAACCCTTCAGTTGCTGTGTCTTCAGTTAATTAACCCTTTGGAGGCCAGAGAACCACTTCGTATTCCTGTCATATTACCCCTTCGCTCAGTCTCGTCTGCTACGACAGTTGCTTCTTTTTCTCTTGTCTGTCTGTCTTTTGCCTCTTCAAAGGCTATACTTGAGGGCTCAACCGTTCGTAACAATCTATCTAAACCCCCTATCACTTATTCCTGAGCTGTCCCTCGCGGCGCATCTTGAAACGGCTTCAACCTTTAATCTGATGCCCTCGACTTTCTCGCGATAGCTGGTGTTGTCGCACTCTCTGGCATACCCGAACACTTCGCCGCCTCTCAGGCGCATTAATACAACTCTCATGGCCCGACCCATGGGGGCGGTTCGTCTCAAGAAGACGAACCCCTTGACCCTCGCGCTCGGAGCGATCCTGTGCATCTTCATCGTCGTCTTCCTCGTCTCCCCGTCGGGCAAATCCGCAACCGCTCGCCGATTCGAGTCCATAACTGCAGAACATCATCTCTCGCCGCCGACTTCACCGTACCGAAAGTCAAAATCCCGATCTGGCGTACCGCTCAAGCCACCACCCGTTGTGCACTACAACCTTAACAATGTCACCATTACGACTTCGCCCATCGCGAACCGAGAAAATGTCCTCATCCTGACCCCCATGTCTCGATTCTATCCCGGCTACTGGGACAATCTTTTGCGCTTGACATATCCTCATGAACTTATCACGTTGGGGTTCATCCTACCCAAGACCAAGGAGGGCAACCAAGCCACCACCGAACTCCAAGAACACATCCACAAGACGCAGAAGCATGGCCGCGAGGGCGATAGATTCAAGAGCATCATCATTCTTCGTCAAGATTTTGATCCTGCTATTGTTTCGCAGGATGAAGCCGAGCGCCACAAGCTTAAAAACCAGAAGGCCCGTCGCGAGGTTATGTCCAAGGCCCGGAATTCACTACTGTTCACGACCCTCGGACCCGATACCTCCTGGGTCCTGTGGCTAGATGCCGACATCATTGAGACTCCTACAACCCTGATCCAGGATCTCGCCTCGTTCGATAAGCCGCTCATTGTCCCAAACTGCTTCCAGCGATATTACGACGACGAACATAAGCAAATGGCCGAGCGGCCATATGATTTCAACAGCTGGCAAGACAGCGAAACAGCGCTGGCACTCGCTGCCAAGATGGGACCCGACGAAATCCTTCTCGAGGGCTACGCCGAAATGCCAACATATCGAATGCTTATGGCATACCTGGCTGTTGAGGGCGGTGACCGTAATCTGGTCATCCCACTTGACGGAGTTGGAGGTACTGCCCTCCTAGTTAAGGCTGATGTGCATCGCGATGGTGCCATGTTCCCTCCCTTCCCCTTCTACCATCTTATTGAGACGGAGGGATTTGCCAAAATGGCTAAGCGGTTAGGCTGGCAACCATATGGCCTGCCCAATTACAAGGTCAGTCATTTCTCTGTTGCAACCAACATCTGGCACTAATGACTTTCTACAACAGGTCTATCACTATAACGAATAACGTTGCCACGCCTTCACGAGGGCATGATCCATCTCCTTTTGCGGCCCCTGTTTTCTAGTTCTTATGCTAAGATGACAAGCATGCTGTTCTGGGATTAGGACCTTAAATAGTTGCTTAACAGCTATTGACGGGCAAATCACGATTCAATTTGGGCGCGTACAGGTCATGGCGTTTAGTAGCGTATCCTCTGAACATTTCTTCAAAAACAGAGAGGAATGGAAGCCTCGTTGCCAGAAAGGGAAAAAAAAGAGAAGAAGAAAAAAAAAAAAAAGAAAAAAGGAAACAGCGCAATAGCTTCAGGGAAGATATCACGCCTTGTTAACGATATGCATATTGTATTGGCTAACATATTTCTGTAAGAGCATTCGGTCATGCATTGCGAAAGTGTAGGAAGGATCATGGAACACCTTAGATCGGCGTCTGCGAGTGCGCGTGTTAAGCTGTTCAAATACAAGTTTTGAGGCCATTCTCAAAGAAGTTGTCCTTTAAGTTAATATTTGCAATATTATTACTCAGAATCATGCGATACCGCTCGAACAATAAACTCGTCAACATCTGTAAGCCCAATCTGATATCTAAGCGACTAGGTACCGAGGTATATCAATAAACCTTCCATACGAACCAAAACTCCATATTGTGCCACCTGAATTCAAGCGCATCCACCATCTTCAACCGGTGCAAACTCCATATGTAACCGACATTTCAAGGCCCCTCATATCGCCCATCAGAATCCCGACACCAAAACTCGACTAGCTTCCTCGTACCAAGCACATCGCCGGATCGTAACAAGGCCGCAACGTCCACGTTAAGTGGGCTATCAGTCTCAGGGCAGCCCAGCAACATGCGCACGGCTCGAACACATTCCAAGACACTATACGCAGGTGTCCATGCGTCCTTGAGCAGGTCCAGGCAGATCTCGCCCGTTTGAAGGGCAATATTTGGGTGAACAATGGGCGTGACGAACGTCAACTTTGGCGGTGCGAGGGGGTAAGTCGATGGGATAGAAATATTGATGAGCCAGCGCCCCTCTGCGAGATGTTAGTAGGTGACGATGGCAAAATTAAGAGTTGAGCTAACCATCGTAGCCGTGGCCTATATCTCGCCCATTGACAACGGCCTCCCACTCCATCAAGTCGCCCTCGTTGACTGGCCCAAGACGTTCGATACCCTTCTCTTCCTTTTGCTCTGTGCTCCACGTGTCCAACTCCTTTATCAGTCGCCGACTTGCGCTTCGCGACGCAGCGGCTGAGTTTGATGACGATGACGGCATTGCTTTGGCTGAATGCGATATCAGGGCCAGGCGGAGTGATGACACGGCGAGGATTTTACACACGTTATGAGTTCAAAGGATTTGGGCAAGACCCTTGAAGTTGAAGTTGAAGTTGGAGTCGGAGTTGGGGATGGGGATGGGACTAAGTTACAGCTGGTCTGGGGTCGTGACTACCTATTTCGTCACGTTTAAGCTGCTGAGCTCCCCTTGGCATGCCCAGCTGGCGACTTATTACAGGGGTGAGGTCGGCCAGAGCCGAGGGATGCTCTCATGTAAATTAGCCTGTAGGTACGGAGTACATACTTGCCTGACCTAGGAAAGTACTGCCCAACCTTACATTACCTTAGGTAGGTTAGTAGGCTAGGGGGGGAAATAAAACACAGACCCAGAGTACTTAAGTAAGATTATTCTTATTATAATTAGTAAAATTAAATAAAAATATTTTCTAAGATATATATATATAAGAATAATTAATAAGATTTTCTCTATCTAATAGTAATATTTTTATATTTTATTTCTTATATTATACTAAGTAATTTAGTAAATATCCTTATAGCATGGTCAGTCTCGAGGTCTGTGTTTTATTTCCCTCAGAGAGTAGGCACCTGGTAGGCTAGCCCACATAAGGACTTGGACCCCTGGCTCCGGACTATAACTGCCAGCTCAACGGGCTAGTGGCTGTGGCAGCGTGGCTCAACCTTCGTTTCTAACGACTACCTACTTTCATGTGAAAATGCTTTTTCACACCACGTCGTGAACTTGACCATGATCAACAACAAAGCTTAAGAGATAAACATACATCAGGCTGGCAAAACCAATCGAAAGTCTACAAATACTGAAATAAAGACGTGGATTCTCTGGAAAGGGGGATAATTTTCTCTTCTAGTCTAGCATCATAACTCTTCACTTTTTTCTTCGCCCTCCATTCGCCGCAGGCTTTCGCTTGGACGTGGATGATGAAGCAGAAGTACGAGGTGGATTCCTCCTGACTGGCTCGGGCTTAGAAGGCTCGGGAGATGATTCCTCAACGACGATCTGAGCTCCACTGCCAACATCATCGCTGGATGTTGTCTCTACTGATGCTTCTCTTTCCTCATCAGACTCATCCTCGCTCTCGCTCTCTTCTTCGCTTGACCCGTTGATTTGACGGGATCCCCGCGATAAACGCTGAGCCCCTGAAAATTGTCTCCATGATCCAGCTGGACTAGCGGCCTGGGCGCCTGGAACCTGGAACTGGAAGGGGTCGAGGGGAGCTTGACTCGAGTTCCTACCCCGACGAACAATCACTGAGCTATCAGAAGGCTGACGACTATTAGAAGGGGCCCTCACTCGACTCTGGGGTCTTTGTGACGAGGTCCCTGAGCGTGGTCGGCCGGCTGTCGCTGGTGGTGGGAAATAGCCCATGGAAGGTCGCGACGAACGGTCTTGATCCTCGGTAAAATTGCTGTTAGAAGAAGATTGCCGGGCTCGCGACTGTGTGCGTGGTTGACCAGAGACTGGGGGTGCTTTCTTTTTGCGCGATGACGGCTCCAGCTGGGTAAGAGGCACAGCGACTCGCTGGTCTTTACGCTTCTTGCCGCTCTTCTTTTTCTTCGCTGCCTCGTCTCTCTTTCGTCGTCGCTCCAGGGCACCCATTTCTTCCTCATTGAGATCAACATCTGTTCTTCCTTTGGCCTTTGCACGCTCGATTCTGTGCATTGCCGACTGGACCAGGGCTTCCTCCCGATCACGAACAGCCAGTTCGGCAAGATACTGTTCAAACTCCTCATCCTCACTGCTCTCACTGTCATCCTCCGAGTCCTCCGAATCCTGGTAATCACCCCTTCGTACCAAGCCCCGTTCTCGATTACCCAAATCTATCCCCGTAAAACGAAGAGAATCGCTAGCAAAGCGTGTACCTGAGCTGGCGCCAACACCTCGTGCATCCTCATCTGAATCCAACTCCTCCACACGAACGTCTCTTCCTTGACGTCCGCGAGACGCAGAGTCCCCGTCTGTTCTCCTCCGACTGCGCCTCGATGGTCTTCCCCATTGGGGCGCGAATTCGGGAGATTGCGGCCGACCACCTAGACCGCCTCCCCGGAAAAAGCCTCATCGATGGGCTTGTCCAAAAATGCAGCGTGACCGAGGATGGTCACGCCAGATGCGCCAATGAGCCAGAGCAGGGTAGTGAAAGGTGAAGCAATCAGACCCAGAGGAACGGCGACGCAAACGAGTGCAGTATAAAGCTGCGAACAAGAAGCACGGAAAGTGCCAATCTCGAGATCATGGCCATCGAGCTTGCCAATGAACCACATGCCGACAACTACAAGGATGATGTCGAAGAGCAGCAACCAGTTTGTGAGCAGGGCGTAAATGCTCAGCATAACAAAGATAACAGCATAGTTGCTGGAGTAGTGGCTCAAGTTGTAGTTGACGCGTGACTGCATCTCAACAAAGTTGGCAGGCTTAGAGAGACGCTTGAAGTCGAGAAACTCGCCAACGGGTCGCAAGTTGGAGAAGCGGCCGCTGAGGGGACCAGATCGAAGGCCCTGGAAGCGATCGCCAAAGTTGAGGCGGGACGTGATAACGTCGAGAGGGATCTGAATGCGAGACATGATGGCTGATTTGTGCGATGAACTCTCGTAGAAAGGGGGTTGATGTTTTTGGCGTGGAAAGAGTATAGACTACCTAGTGAATCGAGTGGATGCTATTATGGCCTCGGAGTGCAGGCAACAGAATTATCGATCCGGACGAGTGACGAAAGCCAATTGCGTGTTCAATGTGAAAAGAATGGATACTCTGGTGATGAGCTGAGTGAAGAAATCAGAAGTTAGCGCAAAGGAAGTGATAATGAATGCGGATTCAGGCGGCAGAGAAAAATTGAGGACAAGCTGGCAGGAAGAGATAGCACATGTTAAGGGGATGGGATACGAGGCGCAGGCTAATCAAAGGGGAAGCCACAAGCAGACGAAAAGGATAACTTCGGTATTTGGGTAAAAAGGGGGGCAAACACACCGAGACGCAGTTTTACCAGCGAATTCGAAAGGGCTTCGAGTCCAAGAATGAACGGAATGTTGCAAGATTAATTGCACTGCGATGTTGGGAGAAGGGGTAGTTTAGGTAGGTAGGTAGGTAGGTAGGTACCTGTAGGTAGGTAATTTGTTGTTCTGTACGGACACTGTCCAGATTACCGATAAGATTGGCTGCCGTTTAGGGGACAACTTTTTTTCCTCCGAGACGTGATTTGCTAGAGGGACGCGTCTCCTGTCAGCTTTGGCTTCCTCGCTTCAGGGCTTCAGGGGGGTCAGTCTCTCCAGCCCGGCAGGGCCAAGACTGACTGATCTCCACCTCACAGCCGAAGGGATTCTCAGAAAGGTACGTACCTCGGAATGGGATCGCAAAGGTGAAGGATGAGGCGGTGATGGCAGGAATTCGATATGTACGAAATATTCGGTCAGGGAGATGAACCAGTAAAGATTGCTGATCTCCAGCCAGTTTTGAACTGGGCTGGCGGCCCGTAACAATGCCTCTCCCTTCCGAAAGAGAGAGGCTCGACGATTATATTTGAGCTCACTTCTTGTCGTCTTCTCCTCTCCAACCCAAACAGATGAGGTTCTATTGGAGGAGGGCCATATCAATGACTGACCTAGAAGAGAAGAAGAAGGGAGAGGGGGAAGGAAGACGAGGGAAGAAGAAGACTAAATACAAAGGCTACCGACTAAGGTAGCTCCGCATTTTCCTTACTTCACTCTTGATACCTTACCTTACCTTACATTGAAATACCCAAGAACAAAAATAAATAAATAAACAAAAGAGCCCAATCACGTACGACACGATCAGCATTGGATCGAATTGCACACCGCAATCCTCTCTTCTTTCCTCTTCCGCTGGGATCCGATGGGGGGGTGGACTTGGCCATCCCAGGAGCTTGCTTGTAGCTCGTACAGCTAAAAACCGGGTTGTAACTTTTTCTTCTTCCTGCTCCCGTCCTCTCCAAACAACGCAAATGCAGAGCAGAGCAGAGAGGGGCCTCACGCTTATGCACGCGACACCAGTTACAGCAAGCCAAGTGGAAGGCGAGGCGTCACCGCTACTGATGTGTGCCTCAGCATCTTTCTCGTTATTCCTCCGGATGCAAGAACTAGGTACTAAACTAGCACCTACAGCTGACTAGGTACCTAGTAGCTTTCTTTTCTGGCAAGTTGGTCTAGATTGTTGTCAACTTTGTTACATTATTATGTAGTACTTTCAGCACATAATAAAGGATTTGAATAATTACCTGTTCAACTGTACTATGAGTAAAGTAACTCTAGGTAGGTATTCATGGTTCTATCAGCCTGTAAGAGGGGAAACTGACAGATACTACGGAGTACGTAGGCTAGGTATGTTAGTAGGTACTAGCTTTTACAGATATCATATGCAATACAACTCAGGCCATATCAGTCAGATCAGCCCACTTCAGCAGAATTGGATCTCTCTCCATTGTATCGTTACACGATCCAACCATCATGATCCACGATCTATCTGTAGATCCACCCAATGCATGCCACTCTGCCACTCCTCGGGGTACAAGAAGACTTCTGACGTTAAATTGAGGTGCCAAAATTACTTAGTCTAAGATTTACCAAAGCTATACTAAATCTATACTAAATTTATCTAAGCTGATCTGAAGACTTTTGTCACCTAAGATAGAGGTCCTAAGTTTTATTACACCCCCTTGCCACTCCAACCTCGAAGCTCCATTATTCAAAGCAGTTCCGGGCTGCCCAAGCTACCAAGCCAGCTCTACCTTGCTTTTCTATGTCCTGCCATCCTAGCTCTCCGATGTTGATCGAAAGATTGAAACTGGCTTCGAGGGTTGTCTTATAAAGAAAGAAAGAAACCAATCCCGCAGGACTAACAATTCCTGCAAGTTACAACCTAACTACTAAACTAGAGCCCTATTCTGGTACCTAGTCTCCTAGACCGACCGTGTCAGATCCTTCATCTTGACTTGCTCCTAGCTACGGAGCAGGACCCATTAATCCATTGCCGACCCCCGTACCCCCGGACCGCTTCCTTGGCTTGTCTCCGAATCGGCCTGAAGCCGAACCGTTCTAAGCCACTCAATCCCTCCCCTCCACTAGAACTGATCACCGTTGCATGAGTGACCGCCATCTGAGAATGAAGATGAGACCCTTATCCTTCGGAAGTCGAGGCCATAAAGTATGCAAATTTTACGACAAGCTTCGAATCAGCATATGCCATCATGAACTTATCTCATGCCATAAAATAATATGTCGAATTCGTACCTGTACATAGGCCATGTGGTCAAAATATAGGATATATGTAAACAAAGTAACGAGCAATGCGGATACTATGCTATCGGCATGATGAGGCATGAAATATCCAGCAACATGCCCAAAGATAATGCCTCACTTATATCTGATATGTTCTTCTTCCAGCTGTATTGAGCTTGTCCGAACAACGCTCGCTATGCCTGTCTCTATTGGCCTTGCCGCGCAACGATATGGGGTATATTTATGAATCGCCAAACACAAACGAACATGACAAAAAGAGAAAACAATATGCTCAACCACCTTTCGCGCTCACACCTCAAAAAAATAATCCTCATCAAGACCATCCCGGCTCGGTATCACTCCAGCTCCGGGCTCCGGGCCGTCAAAAGCTGTGTCCATTCGGACGTTCAATAGTCGGATCTTGAGCCCGTACTCGCTCACCAGATTCACAAGCTTGTTGGTCTCCGCGGTTATGGGTGCTTGGTTCAATAGCATCAAGAGCCCGTCCAGCCACTCCGAGGCCAGGCTGTGGCTTAGTGGCCACAAAGTAAAGATGGGCTGCTCCTTGCTATCCGTTCCCCTTGCCGCCTCCGTTGCGTTTACGAAACTGTAGACGGTGATCTTGGTTGTTGTCTTGGGAGTTGCATCCTTGCCCATCAAATCACTCATGGTGCTCCGGATGTCTTCGTTTGGTGCCGAAACATTGGATACAACAGAGCTGATAGTACTGAGATCGACCTTTTCACCCAATGAATCCAGGCTGGGCGCCGTTACTGTCCTTTCCTCGAAGTCGGCGTAGTGTAGATACCGTCGGTTATGAGAGAGTTTTGCATATCGCCAAGGGGTAGGGGTGAATAGTCTGTGCTTCACTGCGCCATTGTCTCGCTTCGGTATTGGCTTTGAGAACCAAGATCCCTGCAGAAGGCATCGAATTCGCTGCTCCTTGACGAATTGCAGAGCCTCTTGTTTCAACTCTTCTCTCACTTGTTGTAGGTGCTGACCCCATGTGCTTTCGAACGACATTTCCAACAGGCCCATTTGCTGCTCCCGTAGTCGCGGTACGTCGTACTCCTGCATCTCTTCTTCCACTTCGGCCACATCTTTGGTCCTTGTAGCTCCTCCGACAACACAATCGATCAGAATTCTAACCAGCTCGACCACCTTTTCAAAGTCACCCTGTTCCGCGCCAGTGAGTTTCCAGACACGGAAAAAGGCGCACAAGCCGGCAGTGTGTAGCCGAGACCACTGAAGCAGTAGGGGTCGGAATAATCTGTCGTGATCTTTGGCCTCCAGTAACTGGTAGCCCCTGACATCATCCAGATCCGTCTTGTCCACGTCGAAGTGGTCGTACAGTATCATCGTCACAGCGAAACTGGCCCTGGCCACGGGGCAGCGCTCAGGCGTAGGTTTGCCTGCCTGTTCGAGCAGCAGCTTCTGAAATCCATCCTCATTCCTACGGACGTAGTCGGTCAGGTCCATCATACCCAAGAAGCCAGTCATATCGAACTCCTGTGCAGGACTCTCTGTCTCGAAGCCCAGTCTCCTCCATTTTTCGGGATTGTGACGCTTGCTGCCCTTCTTCCCTGGAGCCTCGTGCGACTCTTTTCCCAGAGAATGGCCGTTTACGTGAGCTCGCTCCGGTGCACTCGCTAGGTGAAGTCCCTTGAGAGCCCTTCGGTGCTCCGGTCGCTCGAGATCAACATCAACCTCGCGCCACTTCCTCAATAGAATTTTGGTCAGCGTTTGAAACTCCAGCATGGGATGTGCCAGGTCCTGAAGTGCAGAACTCTGCATAAGCCGGTGAACTGCCTTGATAAGCCCCAAGTCTTGTAGGCGCTTGATGAACTTGGCCCAATCCTCTCCCGAACCTGCGTTAGCCTTTCCACCATTTGTTGTACTCTCGCCCGACACGGCGTCTCGGATCAGGGCGTTGATCAACATCAGCGCATTGGCACACAGGGCATGGTCTGCGCTCTGCAGCTGCTGTATAACCAGCTCGAAGAAGTTTGGGTGCACAGCCACGGCGGGTTTCAGGGCGCGGAAGCCAAAGGTTCCTGGTGTTCGGTTCGCGGCATCACTTTGGTTGGTAGACTGGGAATGGCCAACAAGTGCGACCAAGATAGACATGGCTCCCCTGAGGATGTTGACAAGAGGGTTTGTAACGATCAATTCGACGACACGCTCGACAAGATCGCTTGCGGTTGGACCCTCAAAGATATCCCATCCCATATCAACTTCCAGTAATCGGGTAAGACTTTGAAGAGAGTACGCGAGCGTGTTGCCAGCAGATGTCATGATGAGTCGACGGAGGACGACTAGACCGCCTGAGGATATGAAAACATCGGCAAATGCTGGATCATTAATCGAGTTTTGCAGTTTGAATACTGCCATCTTGCGCGAAGCATCTTCATCGCTCGCCATTCGCGCCAGCAGCGCGGGGATGTCTGCTTGATCCATGGTCGAGGTATTGGTCTTTTGGGTAAACAAACAGAGAGGGGACAACAAAGACCTTATGATGTTGCTATCATTGCCCGGCGATGCATATCAAGAAAGCGATTATATATGTTTCTTATGTGAGTTCGGCGATCAGGCTGTAGTTATGTCGTATGGTTAGGAATATAGGAGCAGGAGATCAGCTTGGCTGCGATTGTGTTGCGTTTCGTCCCCTTAACCTTAACTAAAGTCCTGAACAAAGACCCTGTCGAAATTAAACCAATTGCCAGAAATTGTTTGGGGAAGCTCTCCACACTAACTTGAACTTTAGCCTCTTATAGCTCTTAAGGAGAGGCTTGCGTCTCAGGCTGAAGAGAAGAGTATTGAACCAACCCTGTCACAAGAAAGGCGCTAGCTTTTAGTCAGGTGTGGGATTTGTGGCGAAGAGGCTTATCAAGCCACAGGACGGAAGGCTGGAGTCTTCTATCGCACGTGAGAAGGTACGTACCTCGACAAGCATCTTCGACGCCAGCAGTTGATTTCCATATTCGATCTCAAATCCTTTCCAAGCCTTCAACAACTTGCTATCGCCCCATTTGTCTAGTGTCCACCAGAATCGCAACAATGGCCAATTTTCTTGCCTCAATCTTCGGTACAGAACTTGACAAGGTCAACTGCTCTTTCTACTTCGTAAGTCACTGAAACGCGTCTCAGTCGCAAGTCCCAAGATTACTGACTCTGTCCGCGCCCACGTAGAAAATCGGTGCTTGTCGTCATGGCGATCGCTGCTCGCGAAAACACGTCAAGCCTTCCTACAGTCAGACGATCCTGATGCCCAACCTCTACCAGAATCCGGCTTACGATCCCAAAAATCGAATGAACCCGTCTCAACTGCAGAACCACTTCGACGCCTTCTACGAGGATATCTGGTGTGAGCTTTGCAAATACGGCGAACTTGAGGAGCTTGTTGTTTGTGACAACAACAATGATCGTAAGTCGTCCTCTTTCCACTCTCTGTAGTTTTCCAATGCTAACTTCGAATAGACTTGATCGGCAACGTCTACGCCCGCTTCAAGTATGAAGAGTCAGCCCAGAAGGCTTGCGATGAGCTCAACAGTCGATGGTATGCCGCGCGCCCGATATACTGCGAATTAAGCCCTGTCACCGATTTCCGCGAGGCTTGTTGCCGACTTAATTCTGGAGAAGGTTGTGTTCGAGGAGGCTTCTGCAACTTCATCCATCGAAAGAACCCTAGCGAAGAACTCGATCGCGATCTGACTTTGAGCACAAAGAAGTGGCTAAAGGAACGCGGCCGTGATGAGAAGAGCGCGTCTCGCTCACCTACACCCGAGCCCACAAGACGTCGCTACTAACGGCTTGTATACTGGTACTGAGTGGTGAAGGGCCTTCGATGGGAAGAAATGCAATACGGATGGCACGGTCACGGCGTTTTGGGGCTGGGGATTTGTTCTAATAGTTTTTATGTAAGGATTCTTGGGCCATTCAACCATTACGGATACCCCTCCCTTCATCAAATATATCTCAAAAAGAATATTGCAGTAGTCACCTGGCGGAGGCCGGTGTTGAAACCCTTCTGGCTCTTTGTAAACCCACGGAGAATGTAAAACCCCGTGTATAACTAATCCCGATGCGCGCCGATGTTGATGTAGCCTGCCTGTCCCCTGCTTCCGTCTTAGTCCAACTGTTCCAAGGCAAAGTCAGTCCTCACTGCCTCGTTCCATATCTAAGAGATAACTGATATTCATTTCTTCATCATGTTTTATTGTTGTGTGGCAGACGGTATGTCCTTTTTCAGGTCGTTTGTGAAGTCGATCAGCGGTCCGTCGGCTTTCTTTCCTGTGGAGTTGAGCAAGCCTTGGATCTCAGATTGTTTTGTTCCTTGTTCAGCAGCGGGGACCTGATCCGGCTTAGCAGGCGGAGGTATCTTGTCAAAGTGGATGAGGTTATCGTCGATATGATTCTCTGCCGGTTGAGCTGATGCTGTTTGGGCAGGCTTGGCAGACGGGCTGTGCGGGGGAATGACGTTTCGTTGCTTCGACTTTTGTCCTTTGATGATGGGATAGATTGCCATAATTTGCTCAGCTTGCTTCTCGGGCGTCGCAGCATGGTCACTTGATACGAGTTAGTGAAATGCCAACTACGTAAGTTTGCCAGCACTTACATATTGGCGTTAATGACCCATTCCAAATCTTCTTCGCCTTCTTCCAGTCCACTGGGACCACCTTGGACTCTCCTGAATAGTCGTGGGTGCCACTCGATGTTTTCCTGTGCTCGTTGAGCAGCTTCTTCACGTTGTCGGTCTTCGATCTTGGTCTTCTCGTCTGTGGCAAGTTCATGGTTGCGGTCCTTGACGGCTCTAGCCGTCTTGTCCCACAGTCGCTGAGACTCCCGTTCCTCTTGCTCCTCGATTGGTCGAACAGTTGGCGGTGAGGGCTTTGATCTCAGAGCATTGAAGAACATCTCTCGGTGACCAGTCTAATCATATGAGCTTAAAATGAGCCTGTGTTGCAAATAGGTGTACCAACCGTCATGTCTTTGATGTACATCTCCTCACTCCAGAGGCCAGAGAGCTCAAACAAGACCTCGCCAGTGCTCTCCCGCTTGATCACTCCGCCAATGGCATTATAAGTACCACCGACCCAGCCTTTTGTTTTGAAGTCGACATCAGCAACCAGGTCGAGTTCAGGGCATCGGACAAAGCTATGATCGCCAAGCTCGTACTTCATTTTGCCGAACAGAATGCCTCGGGCATACATGTTGGGTTGGGTAAGAATACTGCATCCTGTTAGAGTATATACGAAGGAATGTGCACTGCAGGGCCACATAGCCATGCAAGAATTGAGTGCGTTGGGCCAACATACTATTGCTCCCCCTTTACAGCGTCCTTTCCGCGGTTCAGCAAACTCAGAAATGCAATACCTTCCATCAGACTGGCGGCAGAATTTCCCAGAAAACGACTCCGAGGCTTGAGAGTTCCGTCAATACGAATGTGGTGGTCTGGGGCCATGTAGAAGTAACTCGACTTGGGTGGGTGGTGGGAAGTCTGTTCAGAGATGTAATATGCGCGCTTTCCATCCTCAAAGTCCCAGTAACAGGTGAAGATCTCACCCAGAATAGGGTTCAGGGGTTTCTTGACGCCTCTACAGATCGTCAGTAACCGGCGCATCGACATTAACAACAAGCACAAACTCACGGAGGACGAATATGCCAACCACTGAGGTAGAACTTGACTACGGATACGAAGCGCTCGACGGGGTCGTCTATGGATGGAATCTGAAGGAGCATTTCGGGGTGGCACATGAAGCTGCAGCCAACAAGTCAACCTCTAGTTTTCATGACTTAGACAGGGAAATTCACTTGGTGATGCGCTCGAGCATACTGCGGGGTTCGAGAATGAAGGTGGGAAGAACGACACGACTCAGATCGGCCCCGGGTCGCAGTTGGGAGATAATATGGGAGAGTACTTGAATGCATCACTATTGTCAGCCCAAGGTCGAAAGGCTGAGGCGGTCGATTTGAGTCGCAAACGCGCCGTTACTGCGAAAGTCGACGCAACCTGCAACGAAGGAGGGGCTCACCATTGCCCTGATCGGGCTCCATCACCAGGGTGTCATCCTCAGCGTCGGGACCACGAGGGTCATCGGCAGAGGAGCGAGTGCCTGCAGGTTGCGAGAACCAGTTTGTCAACATAGCGACTCTTCAGCGGCCAAGAAGAAGAAAAAAAGATTGTTTTTTTTTTTTTTTCGGGAAAAATATAAGGGATTTTGGAGGGGTGCAGATTTGGGAGGGGCAAGAACAGAACTCGATCAATAACTATTAGGTCAGGGATAGGGACAGGGACGGAGGATTCGGATTTGCTGAGTGGGGATCCAATGTGAAAGGATGTGGGTGAGTGAGCGCTTGAACCGAATAGAGAACAGAACAGAACAGAACAGGAGGGGGGGCGCCGTTTACTAGAGCTCCAACTTGCAAGCTACCAAGACCTGTGCCGGTACTGCAGCCTCTAGGTGACGTCTTGAGCAAGGGAGACACCAACGCAAATTCAGTGTAGCGAGCATAAGATTCCACAGGGTCGATTGCGTGTTGAAGCCGTCACAAGAGGTTGCGATTCTTTATAGGACGAGAAAGAGGATAGGCAAACTCACTGGCGGTACTGCCGGTCCTGCGGCGTCCATGAGAGACAAGACCCATGACCACTGTTTCTTGCTGCTAGAGGCTGCTGCCTAGGTTGGGACGTTGGTTTGCGAACGATTTCGTTTGCTGAGGCTCTCAAAAGAATGTCGGTATGGGATACAACCAGATGAACAACTTACGGGACCACAGTCCTTTATCAGAGGCGCAATTCGAGCTTTGTTGGGCTGGGTGCGGGGGCCTTTGTATGATGTAGTTAGGTAGGTAGACAGGAAGTCACAACGGTAACCAGAGAGCTCAAGTGGAGCTCGAGAAATAGCTGTATCGTTTGCGAGCGGTGGTTCGACGGAGGGGAGGTGACGAAGTGAGAATAATTGCTATGGAGTATAAAGCCGAGTTGAGCGAGGTGATATTGAATTGGACTGGACTGGAGAGAAAAAAAGATATCAATAAGAAACGACGAGGCAGTCAGTCACCAAAGATTAGATATCTGGGCAGGTAGGGAGAGAAGAGGGCAATAGCTATGGCAATGACGGAACGGATGGCCCGGTATTGACAAAAACGGTCTTGAAATGACCAGAGTGACGCCAGGGGAGGATGGGCACTGAAAGGATCACGTTTCTGAACACCTTCCAAGGCAGATTAGCTGGCAAGTGGCGGCATCAACCATCTGAGTAGGCATCAAGGATAAGCCTACTACCGTATGTAGGTGCCTACTAGCTATGTATTAAAGATCCAATCATTTCCATGAACCAATCGTCAGATCTGCCCCGCGATGGAGAAGGATTGTCTTTGCGTTGACCAGGAAGTGGGGGCTGATGTCTGCCCTGACTGCCAAGGAATAACCCTGAAGAGTAAACATGTCCCGAGTG